TATCACTATGAGAGTAGAGTCAGTGGTCACCGGATAGGGTCGCATACAGTATGGTCCATGCTAACTTAGCACGTCTGTATTTTCTCCTTGCAATTTAGTAATAAAAAACACAGTGAATATACCTTTTCACTTTTTGAAGTACACATAACACTCGGATTTAAATCCGAGGTTTTCGTATTTATTTTCTTTTCAAACTTACTTTAGCTTGATCAAACATTCGTAAATCAGAAAACATAGTCATTGCTCGTTCAGGTGCTCCACCATGTTGATAATTTCTTGCTGCATCTTGAAATCGACCACCATATGCATAATAATCACCAAGATTAATATTCATTTTATTTTCACCACGTTTTGTTGCTTCCTTTTAAAATAAAAGCAAAACAAAAAACACGAATGTTTGTTTTTTTTATTATTATTATTATTTCATTTTCTTTTGTTGAAAAAAATCTATTTAATTTACTTCATAATTTGCTAATAAATTTAAATATTTCACATCTCTTATACGACTAAAACATTTTTTTGCTAGATTAAATTGTCCTTGTTCTAAACAAGCATGTCCTAATGCTTCCCATGTTTTACTTGTTTCACCCAAACATGCTAATCGATATGCATTACTAAAAGAAAAATTCATCTTGTTCTTCTTAAATTTAAAAATCAAATCATTTACTCAAGTTGTTTCTTTCCTATATAACGATAAACAGCATCTGTAACTGGAACAGTTATACCACTCATAGCACATAAATGTAATAAATATATCGTACAACCATTAAAACCAACAATAAGACCCTAAGCAAAAACAAAAAAAAAATCTATTATTAAAATAATTCGAATTAAGCCAAAAAGCTAATAAATAGATAATATTAGTTGTCATGCATTAATTATCTAATAGTTATTTTAAGTTTACATACAGCTCGAGGCTTATGTTCATATAAGTGACGAATATGATTAGTCAAAGAACTCTAGATATATACACGCAAAAAAAATAAAAGAAATAAGTTTAAGTTAGATTCAAACATGTTAATGATTCAAACAAAATTCAATCTTTTCTTTTTACTGATAGTTCGGCATCAGACATAGACTCCTAGATTTATTCTTTATTGTGTTTTTTTTACAAGGATAAGTTAACTTACTTGTAAATTTTGTCTGTATACTGGAAAATCTGCTACTTTTATATTAATAAAACCATCTCCTGAAAATGCAAGCATATCAGGAAATGAAATATTCCATGCAACTGTTTGTGCATTTGGTTCCTTTGAAGAAAAAAAAGATTCTTTCGATGCTTCTTTTTTTTTCTAATGTTTTCTTTTACTTGATAAAGTAATTCTTTCGTTCGAACATTATAAACATAAAGTGTTAATGTATCATCAATAATTGCAACTTTAGTACGATTTATATTCATATCAACACAAAATATAACACCATTTTGTTTAGCTAACAATTGAGGAAATGGATTATTAACAAATACTTGATAAACACCACCATTTTTTAATCCAAGTAATACAGATTCATAATCTGATGGACCACCGATTAATTTTAAATAACGTATAGGACTATCCATTTGCCTTGAATAATTATATAACTTAAGAAAAAGAAATAAGAAATTTTATAATACATACCAAACACGTATTTCTTCACCAGAAAAATTAAAACAATGTAAACGTTTATCTTGACATGTTATTATATATGATGATGTTACAATCATTGAACTACATTCAATATTTTTATTGATTTTAAATGTTGTTTTATATTTCATATCATGTGGAACATCGCCTGGTGCTTCATAAATAAGAATTTTATCAAGTGTTTGAATCTAAATAAATTAGATCATACAATTTGTTAATTATTTTGAGTAAGTCTAAAAGTAATGGCAAAAGTTTTTTAATTCCTTATAAAAAGCTTCAAGAAACTCTCTCTCTTTATGGTCTTATAGGATGCATTTTTCTGATATTTGATCATTTAATATATACAACAGAGCCATTTAAAGATGATCAGACAATTATCTTCATGTTCATCTGTCGAATAACTAGTATTTCAGTTAAACTTACAATGAAATACTTTCATTTCAATACATGGGCGATGGAGCTTCTTGAATCTAGGTGAGGCTCATAGTGTTTTCTTTTTCTCACCCGTCGAATTTCGACGATCAAACTTTCATTAAAGCATCGAGCTAAACTCTTTTATTAAATTCAGTAAATCAACAGAATAAACAGATAAAAAATAGATATGATTAACAAATACCAAAGAACAGTCTTCTTTATGCGTTTCTGAATGCAAACGTAGAACAAAATACTGTTCAAGTCAATAGAATTCATCTTTTCCTTGTAAATACAAATCAGAAATGCACTATTCACGCGAGTTTGTGTCATTATCGATCGGCCACAGGTCTTCATGCGGTGCATCATGAAAAATGATCTTTACGCGGTATCCGGGATAAAAAATGCCGTTAGATACTATTACAAGGACCAATTATACTGATGAAATATTTCTGTCTGTCTTTACAAGGACAGTACTGACCACAAGTGCATAAGAGGCGTGAAAACAATGTATTGTCGTAGAGTATCAAGTTCAAAATTGATTGAAACTGAGCCTCAATGGCTCCGTCACCCGTATTTCAATAGCTTAGGTGTTTGAATTTTTATAAAATTTTAGAGTATAGTTGTAAATCTTTTTAACCTGTGTGTTACTTTTTGATTAGATTATATATTCTCTTTACTTTTCTCATCTCCTCTAATGTCTTGCCGTTTGTATATAATAGAGTATAGAAAAATTAGCGAAAATAGAAGAAAAAGAAATATAGAAACAAGAAAAAAATTCGTGAACTTGCTTACATCATGATGCCAGTGACGTATCCAGGATTTTTCAGTATGCTGAATCTCGACTTCCGAGTGTGGGACCCAGATGAAACTCATGGAGGGTGATGCTGGGTCCAAATGATGAAATTTTATCAAAACAAATTTGCACTAGGAGTTTGCGAAAAAAATTTGCATTTTTCTGATCCCCCCTCCTAGGATTTTTTGCTGTT